GATTATCTCTTTAGTAAAATATGTGTTTGATGTAGTAAGTGTTACATTGATATGTTGATTCGCTTATTTATGAGTGTCTGAAAATAAAGTTACAAGCTAGTACCAATAGGCCGTCAAACATCAGCAAATGAACCTATCAAGTTGAAACTTATCTCGAATGCATACTTCACTGGTCCCCTTTGCACATTAAAAATTGAAGTATATTTTAAGTACGAAAAAATAAAAAAACAGTACCTTTGAGGATTTTGTTTTTCTAGGAGTTGAGACTTAAAATTTTAATGCGTACATTCAACCAGTAAAAGAAGCATTTGAGGTAAGTTTCTACTTGAATCGTCGTGTCCCCGATTTTGGCTGACGATTTCAGAGCCCAAATTTTATTTCAAAACGCATTGTCAAGCCCGGACCACTCAAAATATCGGAGTAGACCAGAGCGGATAAGTTTCCGGTTCGGGGTGTTTTGATACGAGTTGGGCGTGAGTACGGCGCTAGCATAAGGTCTAGAAGCCTAACCTCATCAATCGAGCGTCCGCGAAAAGGAAGGTCATATCACATATGCAGTCCATACCTCAGTGTGATGGCCAGCCGCTCAGCGGGCAAGATGGGAGAGCGATGTGGGGGCGCGTGTACAGGACGGCCGTGGACGAGCCCGAGCAGCTCGCCAAATGAAGCCTTCGTCATACTGCAGCAAAGGAAACGACAGAATTGATTCACTCTGATAAGCGACATGACTATCGACCGCCGTCTTACCTGAAATATGGGAAGTGGTATTCCGGGTTGGACTCGCGCAGCTCCTGCACTAGATGATGAAATTCTCCAAACACTGTGCGTTTATCATATATATCTCGTACGTATACATCGTGCTTGTTCTCTAGTGCCGGATTCGGCGCCATAAAAGCACCGCTGCATATTTTTTCTTTGTTTGCTGATCTAAATGCATGGCGAATCGGCTCTCATTGGTTCCTCCCGTCGGAACAAGTCTGGACAGAATGCAAACGGAAATGGAAATACACCATCAGCTTACGTCGCGGTTGCCATGGCAACGCGCATGCGCGACGCGAAATGCGCGCCGGAGCAACCTTTTCAGCGCGGCGCGTCGTGTAGTAGTTGACGACGAACGCCGGCGCACGTTACGTTTGTCGACGTCGGAGCATAAACAGCCCTGAAAGGGGCCCTGCAAACATATTTAAGCGTCCACCTTTTTTGCGGTTTCCGCGTCCCTCGGGGTTTGGGCAAGCCAGCGGGCACGGAGAGAGTAACTAAATATCAGTGCGTCATATTTCAACCGGGGACGCAGAAACCTCCTCCCCCTACGGGGGTGACCCGCGGTGCCTAATGCACGCGATATGTGACGTCTGTGGCCCTGGGCTTACTACTGGTCAGAGCCGCTAAAAGCTTCTTTTTAGTCCAAATACAAAATATAAATGGCGCGAACCGTTTCAATTTTTTAGAAAAGTAGTTTTTGTTTACTAATTTAAATTAGAAAAGAAACAAATGCCGTTTAGAAAGTACGGAAACAAGAAATGACTCGTCGACATACCCGTGGAAAAGGCGGCGCATACTAGAAAGGTGTACTAGGACCAGGCATTAACGACTGGCGAGCTAAGGTCCCGGACGTACGCGGCGGTGCTGCGGTCGTATGGACTGGAGGATCCGACCGGTTCCGAGCGTTCCCAAGGCCTTCGGCGAGCAGCTTTGGCTTGTGGTTTAAACTTTTGGCGGTATGGCAGAGCGAAGTGGCTCCCGTTCTGAACTGGTCTTTACCCCGTGTTTGCTGTCGTTTGTGGACAATGAAGTGTCATGCCAAAGTAGTGTTTAATCGCGCAGCAAAATGCAATGCGAGCCGTCCTGGCTGCCCGCTTCATACAGCCTAGCCAGAATATGCTTTAGTGGCACCCTCTCGAGCCGTTGACACGGAGTGCGGCAGCCGTGACCACTCGCTGAGCTCACTGCCCCTCCTCTAGTTTACGGCCACACAAGCAACCAAGGACGTCATGAAGGAGGTTATTTTTTGCTTCTTTTTCTTACTTTTGATTTGGCTATAACTTTTAAGATAAAGCCAAATTATATAAAAGAAAGGTTTCATTCAGTGCGCTCAGGTTCGGTGCAAATTAAAAACCAGTAAAAATTCCTTGCAGGGCCCCTTTAAGTTCTAAGCTGTATAAACACACACACACACACACACCAATCTTTTTTTCTTGAGTTTCCAGCGTTGGCCTTCGCTGGCAAGTCGAAAATGTCAGCACTACGGCCTTGTCTTCTAGGCGGTGTTGGAGGAGCTTCCACTTTACCCATAACCTGTCACCGACTATAGCGTTGGCGGCGCACCTGCGTTTGCTATCTTTCGGAATGACTTTCACGTTCCACGATGTCAGTTGTTCTGCCATTGTGCAGTGGTTTCGATCTTCTAATACTAGTCACGTGGCTTTCGAGAAGGGTTAGGACGGCGCGCAAGTTCGTCTGCTCCTTGCTCACGTCTAGCGCTTGTTTACATCCTAAGCAGTGTTGTACACGTTCCTCAATAAGAGGAACGGAAGCTCGTTCCTCGTTCCTCTTGATTTTTGAAACGCGTTCCCGTTACAAGTTCCATCTGCGAGAAAGGAACTCGTTCCCATTACAGTTTAAAAAATGGAGCGTGTCATTACATATACGTTACATTTGTATTTTGATAATTAAAATATTTAGTTAGATGAAACCAAAATGTTTTTATCTAACCCATTAAATAGCAACATACGAATTTAAATGCCGTGATGGAAGGACGCTAGCAGAAGAAAACAAGCCGAAGCAAGGTTTCATTTGTTGATATATTCACTTTTAAAAAATCTCAGCGTTTTGCCGATGTCACGTTTGTGGTGGATGATTCAGATGAGCCACAACCTCACACGTTTCAATCTAACAAGGTCCCGTGTTCGAACGTAACAACAGTTAACGAGAAAAGAGTCAAAGTACAGGCTAGCTGGTGGAAGTCAACCATTTCGTCGTTTACCCTGAGACTGGGTTTTTTTTTTAAGAGCAGAAGTAACAGAAAAAACAGACAGGTCTGTTTTTTCTGTTACTTCTGCTCTTAAAAAAAACCAGTCTCAGGGTAAACGACGAAATGGTAACAACAGTTGCTTCTCGATGCTGTTCTCAGCAAGACGAGCAAATGAAGAAGAAGGTGGGGCTTTTTGAAAGTCAGTCTTGAAAACTACCAGTCCTTCTTCGTGAAGGTTGGACTCGTTGTTCAGTTTGAAGGCGGGTAAAGAGGGCAGAGAAGGAAGGTTAATTTCAGTGCGTCTGGCCAATGCTTGGGATACAAGGGTGTGTATGATGTATAGTAACCTGTTCTTTTGGTGTAACTGGTTTCTTTGTAGACGTTCAGTGATGGCTGCAGTCGGCCTTCGATTTCTGGGTGTATGAGGGTTCTTGGAAGCAAGGAAAGTAGCCGAGTTCGAGACGTCCCTTTTTTTGTCTTTTCCTTTGGCCAAATGTTCTGATTTCTTTGGCGCAGTCTCGGGCGCTGAAAAAATATTCGATGGTTACTAGCTCTCCTGCACCCTACTGTTGCCAAGCGAGGACCCCACAAAATAAACCCTGAGTAACAAGAAAACCGAACAAGATCCTCCTCTTCGTAAAAATAATGTTTTTACACTTTTGTTTTTTCGAAATTCCCCTCTTGCAAATAAAATAAAAACGACCCCACCGGACGAAGAAAAAGGAACACCGTTCCTACTTCCGCTTTCGTAAAATGTAAAGAGTTCCCGTTCCAGTTCCATGGATGCGAAATGGAACGGCGGCGTTCCATCGTTCCTCCTAAAAGGAACGCGTTCCAGGAACGCCGTTCCTTGGAACGCCGTTCCGTACAACACTGATCCTAGGCGAGCCCACGCGTCCTCTTGTTTACCTCCGATCTCAACCAATGACGGCGTGCGCTTGTCCAGCTCGTCATCACGCGCTCCCTGCGCGTTCTCTGTGTTGCCCTTTGATTGCTGCCCTTGCATTCGGATGCGCCAAAGACGCAATTTGGAACAGTAGCTCGGCTTATAATGTCGGAAAAAAGCAAACTGTGCCGAAATTTACATGAGACGTGAACATATTCGGTAGTTATCGAGACGTTCGTCGATAGTTTTTGTTGATGCGTCATTCACGTTCTCATGCAAAGCGGTCCAGTCTTCTTGCACACTCCTGTTTGTTCTCCCACAAGGTAAAAAAGAAAAAAATTAAAACCGGGATACTGCAGTTTTGCTTTTCTCTTTCTTCTCTTTCGACTGTCTTGGTGCGACAATTGATAATCATGAACAAAATGTCAGGGCGTAAACGAGCTGGTGTACATTGCACATGGTTGAAAAAAACCCGAGATGCGGGTAAGTTGGAGACTTTTTAATGTTGTGTCGTTTACCCGCAGTCTCGGGTTTTTTTCAACCATGATAATCATGCACGACACCGTACTCAAAATGCAAAGTGCGGTGTCCCTGAACCCGGGAAAGATTTGCTTCATAGTCCGATCCGTGCGGCCGTGGATGTCTGCTGTCACTGACGTAAAGTCTGCGATGTACCCCGACTTCACTGGCTCGCACATGAATATACTCTATATGAGCAATTCATTCCGGTTATAATCGTTGGATATAATCGGTCCACCAGTACCAAGGAAACACTATAAATATAAGGGCAGAGTGACCTCAGCCGGAATGTTAGAGCAGATGCCTAAAATGGTTTAGTTTAGGAGACGTGACGACTAGCAATCTTTGGCTAACCGATAACACCATAACCAAGGTCCAGTGTGCAGGGAGTCTAAACGTTTCACGGCAATGCGATCCGAACGGCATAGTAATATTGATAGTAATCGAATAGTCGCAATAGGCGCAACGTTGCACGATAACCATCCCCGATACAGTATTAGGCAGAAAAACGTGGCGACGTGGCATAATGTTTGCATAATATTGGACAATATTGAAGTGAAACTGGCGATCTCGCACATCTCTTGATGCTAGGCGATACACGAGGACTTATTTCTTTGTGCGCAGTGTTCCCAGCCGGCATCCTGCAGGGAGTCTTCTTCTCGAAAGATCGGCCCAAGTGAGACAATTTTTCTGGGCTGTCATCGAAATGCCCATGCCTAACCCAACTCCTTTCCCTCTAGCTACCTGAATTACGGAGCAATTGGCTCTGTCATTGGCCACGAAATTACGCACGGCTTCGACGATCAAGGTACGTGGTCACATTAAGCCAACACCAATTAGATAATGAAAGCCTGTGAGCAGCCTCCTCTAACTCCACGTAACGTCATCCCTCTCGGATGGCGTCAACTCAGCAATTGTAGTCCCGAGCGCGACGCCGAATGTCCTTCGGCGCATTCAGTGGACCCGAGTCCCTGCCGAACACTGACGTAGCGCTCGTGTCCAATCAGCGTTTGCGCGCCATCTCACTGTGATGGCGTAGAAGTGAACTGGCTTTGATTATTTTAGGTGTAGTTGACCACAGTCGGTTCAGGCAGGTTCTTTTCACAAGAAATCGGGCAGGCTCTGAGCTGGTGTCCCCCGCTCTGCCGTTCACTCGTGCACTTCGTTGTCGGCTCCACAGGGCGTCAGTTCGACAAGGACGGCCACAATCTCAACTGGTGGGAGCCCGAGACAGACCTCAAGTTCCGCCAGAGGGCTCAGTGCATCGTGGAGCAGTACGGGAACTACACGGTATCCGAAGGCACCTTGAACGTGAGAGCAGTTGTGTTTATTATGAATACGTACGCGCCGCTTCGTTGGTGATTTTAGAAATCGATATCTTCTTTAAATAGATGAGTATGTAGCACATACTCCTTCCCTTAAAGCGCTTCTTACAACTGCACATGCGCAGTTAGTATTTTGTTTTGTGTGTTGTCTGGCGTTTCTTTTGCTCTTTTCCTCAGTGGTACCTGGCGCTGTCATTGGTCCTCCGGAATTATTTTTATGTGCTATTGGCAGCGAACTTCGACTCCCAGAGTGTAGAGAAAAACTACGCTATTTTTGTTTTTATTTATTTTTTTTTCGGGGGGGGGGGGGGGGGGGGGGGGGGAGGAACGGATGAGATGTCACGTTTGCAATGCAAAACCTTGGAACGCGGGCATTGCATGCTTCCTCGTGCTGTAGAAGTGGCTAAGTGTTCGCACCTGTAGCCTTCCTGTGTTCTACTGCAGTATTTTTTTCTTCTGCATTGCGAGCACGAAGGAATCGTCATATCACCCATAGAAATCAATGAATAAACAAAAACTGGTTTACACGCCATTCGCATGGACTGAGAAACTCGCAAGGAGCGTTCTAGCTAATGCGGCGTTCCAGGGTAATGAATCCCGAGAAATTCGCGCCAAGCTCTCCATATGGTTGCCATTTTGGTTCATTGAATGAGCAGTCTCTTATTGACTTCTCTATTATTGGCGAACCGATCTAAATTCGCTGGGGACGGGTAGCCTCATAGAGACATTTCTTGAATGGCGAGATTCTGTTATCCGCACATCGGCGAAACAAGCGCACATCTTCGCACCGACACCACGTACGGCGTCGGTGCTTGGCTGGAATAAGAAATAATCTTCCAGTCTTGAAATACAAGGGAACAATAATACTATTCAAAGAGATCTGTGGAGATAAGCATGATCGATAAGTTGACTGCATGCGCAGCGTCAAAGGCGCTTACATTGGCGTGGAACGCTTCTGTACGATGATTCTCCGTAGCTATCTTCGTGCGACTGGTTCAGAACAACTCTTTCGAAGATTTGAATGGAATAAAATGCGGTTGCCATTGCAACTGAGGCCGATCTTTTTGCAAGGTTTGGTCGTCTGTATGTTATTAGTATATGTTTGCATTCGACTAGTGGGCAGGGAAGCCAATGGCGCTACCTCCCCAGGGTCCACTGACTTTAGTTTCCTCGCCATATTTTGCTGATAATTCATGATCCACTCTGGATTCCACCCCATATCTGCATTGACGTGGCAATGCACTGAAAGGGTCTCTCGTTAACGTAACCGCCTTTGGCTATTTCCACGCAATAAATTGTCGCATTGTCGCGATCTGGAACGACTTCTAAACGTAATACCCGTGTTTCATTCCCTTTTTATGTTGAAATTTATTTTTATATATCCCCACCACCGCCACGATTCCCGTGACAGAAGAGAAACGGTTTGCTACGCAGAAACTGCGAACCCGTGCTCTAAATTTCGTGACTTTTTTTGCATTTTTTGTCTGAAAACAAACGAACAAAAGCTAACTTGTGACTATTCTTATTGAAGATGGATAAAACGTGCGCGGTCTTTAAATGCAGTGATAAATTACAGGCCTAACAAAATATTCATGTGGCTTGTGCAGAGCGCTAAAAGAAAACGCATCCCATTTGGTGTTATTGCGAGGCTGGCTTGTTCGAGCTAGATATTGCCGGTTCCAAGCTCCACCCATCCGCCTCAAAATATAAACGGCTCTGCCCTACGACTGGCGCCTTCAAATGCGCTTCATGTGACAATGTTTTCACTTTCATGCTGCACCAAGGTTTAGTCTCATGGAAGCTTATATTGCTCAAGTTTGCCACTACGTGGTAGACCTACTCGTATTTTGGTTTCCCATGTTCTAATTTTCGTGATAAACTCTGAAACGAAGTGACTTGTATAACGAACATTTTTTGCCAGTCCCATGGAGCTCGTAATTAATGAGATTGATTGCAATTCGCTCGCTGAATTAGCCCAATAAAGTATTCAAGCTGTACCAGCAAGTCCTCAGGTTATCTCAACTTGTCGATGTATAAATATTCTCAACGTCTAGAAAGAGGAAAAATAAATAATGAATGTGGAGAGTGTGACAGCCCCAAATTCGTAATATTACTTTGCTTTTACGTTAGGTTTCTGTGAGACTGCAGTTTTCAGTCACACGTTCTGAGATGGCTTCGTCTTAAGAAAGCTTAAATCTCAATAATAAATTTATTTATTTTTTGTTTCCCCGGGCTTTTTGAAATCTGACTTGTCCTCTGCTTCAAGGAGGAGGCGACGCACTCATCACGTTTAGAGTCGCTGTCATAGTGGCGACCTGACCCGAGCCCCTCTCCCCTCGTACAGATAAACGGCGTGAACACACAGGGTGAGAACATCGCCGACAACGGAGGCATCAAGGAAGCCTTTAACGTAAGTAACGCCATTAGACGAGCCGAGGCCCATTCACACAGGACCTTTTGCTTATTGGTTCTTTCGCGTTACGTTTCGAGTAGGGTTTCGTTTTTTCGGGGTCTATTTTCCTTCAAATTCATGAGTATTTCGGGAGGGATTAATTTTTTTCCAAGTATTTTGTGTTTTTCAATACAATATTTTTTTTACTGTCAGACAAAATGTCCGTGTTTATAAACCATTCCATCGAAAAAAGAAGAGAGCAAGAAAGGCAGCGAGAGAAAGAGAAAGAGAGAGAGAGAGAAGGAGGGGGGGGGGGGGGGAACAGAGAGAATCCCCTCAGACCAGAGCTCAACTCTTATCCTTTCTATCAAAGCGTCGTCTGATCCCCCGAAGGGACTTTCAGAAACGGTCGTATTAGCATGTGCGCAGCATAGCGGTGCAAGCCTTTCAGGCACTATTGTGCGCCGTTTTATGAAAGTTAACGCCTTGTTTCGCGTACTTTGTCATATTCAAGAATGGAATTAACAGGACAGCATTGCGCTGTCTACGCTTGTGAAAAAAAAAAAAAAAAAAACTCTATTAGGCGTTGAAAGAGTATATGCTGAGTGTGTCAAACGAAATAAATGTGAGTGCGAAACGTTTACATGCTGCACCAGATCCATGCTGATCCCTATTTACAGAGCCGGTAACTGTTGAATTCAGAACTAAAAAAACTTTTCACCGCTGAGAAAAACATGCATCTAAATGCTTGTTTTTTCAATGGCCTCACAAATTATTGGGTGCCTCGTGATGTAAGCGGAGTGCAGCCTTGGTTTTGAATAAACCAGTTGCTTGGCAGCTAGATCGATATTTCAATGACTTTGGGTGGCGCTTGGTAAAAAATATACATGCTTCCCATTTTTAAGCGTCAGATAAGTACGATTGGATTATTCTTAGAGCTTGTTTTTTTATGTTAATTTGACGTTTACGCGTCGATGTTTTGGAATCATTTACAAAAAGTATAGAGCAACACCCGCATAAATAAAGTCGAAGCAAATATATATGGGATAGAGGTTCAGAACAAACATTATAACCTTAGATTGTGGGGAAGAAAATCACAAAATTACAAACGCTAAGCTCCGAACAAAGCTTAGATTTATGTTCAATAAAGGGATTTGTGTTCAGCCCCCCAAGCAGATCGAAGCAATGTGTGAAGATCATATATAAAAAAAATCTTGTATTTCAAAAGATCACAGTCCATTTGAGGTCAACGGAAAGAACCCTGCAATAACTTTCCCACAGTGACATCGCGGTGGCAGGGAAGAAAAGTATGGTCCTAAAAAAGCCGAAAAGGGGCCAAAAAAAAAATACCCCTTCAAACTTTTTTTTTTTTTTTTTTTTCAGAAAATCCACATTGAAGCCGACATGTTCACGATAACGATGTGCCGGTGAATTCGGCCATCTCAGTAACGTCGGAAGAAGCAGGTGCCTTTCAGCCTTCTTTTGGTGAATTCGGGTGGTCGCCTCTCTCCTCTGACCTTCATTCAGCAGAACGCCCGCTCCTCGCCGCCAGAGCTACTCGGGATCCTTTACAGCCGATCACAGCTGCTGGGTTAAGAGCGCTCTGACATTGCCAGACCAGTCGCAGAAGTAAAACTTTCTGACATTGGTAATGCACTAAAAAAAAAATAAAAAGAGAAGATTTTACAGCGTACTGGGGACGATTCAGGAAAATGTACGCTCGCAACGTGATGAATAACGGTTGTGACGTAAATTGTTTTAAGCATCGGCAGGTAAAAAGAAGAAAACAGTAGGTATGCGAATCGATTTTTGCAGAACGGAACGAAAGCTAATGCTTGGAAAGAGCTGTCAACCTGCCATGTTTTCGAGAGTGAACGCGCTGCGATAGAGGTAATGCGTACGGCAGAGCAGGCTAATATAAAATGGTTAATAAACCGCATTTTTCTTACGGCGAAAGATCGTGCAAACAGGATACAGCACATATCGCCATGTGACACAAATCACAATGCATTATATTCGGCTCTGCCTTTATTTTGCAACACAAACCTTTTCACGCACTTTTACCAAACCTGAAAATTTCTGGAAGCGACCACAAAACCCGATGAAACAGCGGTGAGCTCAGCGAGCTGTTTCTTCGTCGGTTAGGCATAGCGGATTCACCGCCGTGAGATGAACGATCCCGTGAAAACACTGAGCATACTTCACACGCCGACTTTTCCTGTTACGGTCACAAACGAATGTCGTCCCGTCCGTTGTAATCCTTGTACCGTCGAATGCACGAACACTTTGTAAAACAATATATCAATCGCCGTCATGCCGGACCCCGCACATCACTGGAGACAGGGTTGGGCCGTATCGCGATACAAGTGTATCGCGATAGTATTTCAGAAATACATTTCGTATCTGTATTTCTGTATCGCGATACATTGCTTTCACCAGTATCTCTATTCCTGTATCGAAATACATTTTCGAATGTTTCTTTGTATAGCGATACAACTAGGATGAAATGTATTTCGTTACATTTCTTGAGAAATACACCCCCCCCCCTTTTACCGGAAAAAAAGCAAATCCGAACGCATATTTTTTTTATTATTTTTTTACTTCTCAGGGCAACAGGGTTAAGGAGATGCTGGGGCATTGTTACTATGCTGACCAAGTTCCTTCCGATTCTCCAAACTATTTTTTATGCGTCCTCTTCTCTCTTCTGAGAACTATTGCGTAGTCGGCGACTCGAACCAGGTGGCGCGCCAGGAGCGGAGTCAGAGCATCTTCTGCCGCAGGTTGTGGGTTTCTTTACGGAGGTCCACTACTAATAATCCCGCCCGATCGGTACGCGTTCCGCCCGTCACCCAGGGAATCACACATTAAAATGGCGCCCAACGTGGGGCCCGATTGGTCTGCTGCTTGTCCTGTCTCATCCCCGGCCAGGTCACGACGCGACATAACTTTTGAAAAGTCTTGCTGCCGCTGCCATGACCAGCCAAAGCCGAGTCGTGGAAGTACCCGATAAACCTCTTCCGTAGCTTCCTGGGAATCACCACCCTGAAGGAAACTCATTACTCTCCCCTTCATCGATCGTTGGGATGTAGCGAAGCAATAAGCCGTCTTCGCCCAGCAGATATGAATCAAATTGATCATTAACTCGACCGCCAGCCTTCCCGGTGTCGACCGCAATTTCAGCCAGTTTACCCAACACCCGCTGGCAAAAACCATCTGCTTTCTGGGCCTCGACAAGCTCTTCCTTGCTGACCACTTCACCCCAAGCGACGATCCTTTGCTCCTTCGTGCCGCGCGCTAAGGCTGCTACGACTAGAAGCAGACTAGAAGTGCCAGCCCTGCCAAGTGCTCCAAAGAGGTGGCCACGGCCATCCTTCAAGCCATCATCCTGGCCTAGCTGTGCGTCATCCCCGTCCGTAACGGCTATTGGGAAAACAAGAGTGGAAAGCGCCACACCGTACCCTGCAAGGTGCGTGCTGATGCGGCTAATCCGGCGCCCCGCGGCCCAAGCATCGTGTCCGCCCCGGTGCCCAAGAAGCTGCTGCACATGGCGGGCATCGAGGTCTGCTACACCTCGGCCCGCGTCTCGACGGCCACGCTGTGCAACTTTGCCAAGACCACCTACCTGGCCATCCAGCAGACGTACAGCTACCTGACCCCGGACCTGTTGCGGGAGTGAGAGCTCATCAAGCCCCCCCACCAGGAGTTCACCAATCACCTGATGCACGTCCGCCGCCACCAGCAAGGCGGAGATGGGCGACTTGGAGTCCAGTGACCTCCTCGGCTTCCCACAAGGTCCTTAGCTAGGGATTTCTTGAGTCGTTGTTTGCTGGCATCCAATGTCCGCTTATAAACTTGCCTTAGCGTAGACAGTACACCCAGCCGGCAAGGCTGAGTCACACACAGTTTGTTGCACCACGAACCTGGCGGTGTTTGACTTGAAATACTAGTATGATTCACGCAGTGAAGTTCAACACATATTTTAATGCATCTGCGGCTGCGCCCGTAATATTGCACGACTCAAGGGTACGTCATCAGCCGACATGAACGTGACCGGCTGCTTTGAGGATCCGATACCCAGGAAGAAGGCCAGACGTGGCCTCGCTGTGCTGACCCAGACTTCGTACACCTGCGACTCGTCTTGAGGACGCTGTTACTCGGAGAGCTTGCGCCTGTGCCGGCAATATCAGGTCGCAATCAACGAGCTCTCTGTTTGGGGATGCTATGCAAAACTTGATGACGGCAATCCATGTGTCGGTGGCGGAGGGTCTGCAGGAATGACTTTCACAGCAGGAATGCTATCGTTTCTTTTTTTCAACCGTAACAGAGGATGAGACGCGTGTTCCAGGATGCTTCTGGTGGTCCACTATTCTCGAAAATTCCAAATGACACTGCCTGCACGATCTTCAACTAGGTAACCTAGAACGAAAGTACGTATTGTCCTTTCATACAGCAGCGTGGTAAAGTTTAATGTTCAAGGCCACACCTACAGATAAAGAATACCAGCTTATTCCACAGTGACGTCATGTGATCACTGTTGGCAGGGGCGTCCTTATTGGACAGGGGCGTGCTGGCGTTTTGGTGGGATTTAGGGTGACAAAGAATTTATTTAGAGGTCGAAGTCTTTTCGCATTCCTCGTTAGACAGACAGCATGTCAGGGAAGGGACCGCAATCAGTCCTTGATGGAACGTTTTTTTTTTTTTTGAGCCCATTGAAGACTCCTCGTCGTCCGAAACCACTACCTTCAAGGCAAAGTACCAAGCCTACGGGAAAGTTATTTTGGAATCAAAAACTTCCACTTCAAACTTCAAGCTTCATCTCAGTTGGCGTCTCTAAAAAATGTGAAAAATGTATTGCAGTATCAGTATTTCTGTATTTGTATTTCTGCCCTCCCTAAAATGTATTCCTGTATTTGTATTTCCAAATACGTTTTGCCTCTATTTAAAATGTATTTCCGATACGTATCGCGATACATTTTTACAGACGTATGTTAGTATCAGTATTTTGGCTACTTTTTTAA